AGAACGCAGTTTTCTGGCTCACTCGTGGGAAAGGACAAGGGAACCTGGAGGCATTTAGCCCAACGGAAATTCCAAGTTGCAGCAACTCTTGATGTATGTGACTAGATAGTACTTAAGTCAGTGTTAGTAGGAATCTTGCCAATGACATCAACACGAAAGTATTATTCTAGTAACTTAGTAAATACAGTCCTGTGTTGTGTCAGAAAACAAGGGAAGATATTTTTCCTCTTTTTCAAGACAGAAAGGCCCCTTCCCAAATCAAGCTGCAATAAAATCTTTAGTATAGAGAAATCTTAATGGATACAAAGTGAGAAATGGCTGATTTTTGTTTAAATCAAGTTAATGTTCTATTCGTTTACTACTAAACTTTTCTGAGTAGACTGATTCTTATTTGGCAGTCAATATTTCCCTATCAGAGCCAGCAAGAATTTGTAGTATGTTTGGGGCACAAAACATATCTATTTTAGACACCAAAGGATCATTTTCCAGTGTTTTCTTCAGAAGTTTATGAGGTAATTTCAACAGATCTCACAAATATTTGCTTAATGGTTCCTCACCTCTTTTTATACACCTCTATCTTGGCATCAGTCATGATACAGTACTTAATTTCTCTCACTAAACTGGAGCTCAGTGAGGGCAGGGGCTATCTTATCTGGCTTTGACTCTTTGGTGATGCTCAGTATTTTTTTAAGGACCAGCAGAATGCTTAAGAGTATTGTCTAAAAATCAAGTAACTTCTTAGCATTTGTCCCCTTTTTGTAGCACATTTTTTCATAATTTTCAAGCCATGTCTATAACAATCTGGTGTATCAAGGAAAGTCTCATAGTATCAGGTAATACTGTTATTTGGTTACTGTATGAACCTTTTGGAAAGCTTTGTACTTCTGTCTTCAATAGAAAGTATAGAATTCTGAGTTAATAGTGTTTTTTAAAAAAATTCTTTCAGCAATTAAATATGTCATTCCATGGTTTTTTGCTTTGCATAGTTTCTGACAGTAAGATTGGTTAATCTTTGTTTCTCTGCATGCAGTGTATCTCCCCTCCCCATCTTGCTGCTGTCAAGATGATCTCTATGGTTTTCAAGATTTTCAATGTAATACATGTAGGGTTTGCATATGTGTGTGCATGCATGCACACATGCATGTTTATCATGCTTTATATTCTCATAGCATCTTGGATCTGTGCTTTGATTTCTTTCATTATTTTTGGAAAATTCTCAGTCACTATTTCTTTTAATATATCCTCTGCCCCATTCTGTCTTCTCCTGGGATTCCAGTTGAACATACATTAGACCATTTGAAACTGTCCAATAGTTCTTGGATGCTCTGTTCTTGGTTTTTAATTTTCATTCATTTCTTTCTTTGTGTTTCACTTTGGGTAATTTCTGTTGACCTAATCCCTGAATGTATTGATTTTTCCTGAGCCATGTTTAATCTGCTGATGAGCCTGACAAAGGCATTCTTCATCTCTGTTACCATGTTTTCTTTTTTAATTTCCTTAATTCTTGCTTGTAGTTTCTATCTTCCTGCTAGAGTTTGAGGGCTCAGGTTTCAGAAATAGATTTTCCACTTAATTTTCCCTGAAACTTGGTTTTTTCTTTTACAAAGTGGAAAAAATGGGCATATAATATAATGCATAACATAATAATACAGTAATGACTAACAGTATTGTTTTGAGAGTTAAGTGAGGTCCCTTGAGCAAGTCCTTCTTTTCCCTTCCCTGGGTCTCAGTCACTCTCTTTAAATATCTGGTAACTTAGTAAATACAGGGCTTTAAATATCTGGGCTGTATGATTACTTTACGCTGCTTTAGTTCCTAAATTGTCGGATTTTGTGAAGGGGAAGGGACCTAACATTTACTGACAACTTGAGTTAATCTTGCATAGAATTTGGAAAAGGAAAGCAGATTACATTTAAAAAGTACTTTTGTAAAACATTTTACGTTTATCAAGTCTATGTGGACTTTAATTGTAAGAAACAGGCAGCATTAAGTCCAGTTGCACTTGGTTAAATCTGTTAAAGAATCATAAAATTTTTCAACTGTTGGGTTTCTGGACTTGCTTGAAAAATTTCATGGCTCATAAAACATCTCACTTTATTTCTCTGTGCCTATAAGATTTTAAATTATTGGGTTGGCTCCCAAATTTTGCAATGTGAGGAAAAACTAATGGAGGTTTTTTGCTCTTTACTGACTAGTGCAAATGAATGACATTGTCATTGGATTTGGCTTTGGCTTTGGCTTTGCAGCCACAGACTTGGGTTCAAATCCTGGTTGCACAGCTGTGAAACTTGTGGCTGATTAACTTTTGAGCCAGAGTTTCCTTATCTGTGAAATAGGGATGATATCAACATCAGAGAGCTGTTTTAGAAGACATAATGTATGTAAAGCTTTGGGTATAGTGCCTAGTTAATAGTAATCAATAACTTACAGCATTAAAAACAGTAGCAAAAGGAAATATGCTATCAGTAAGTCAAAATTTTAGTAAATGGAAGTGGAAAGGTGAGTTTTATATTTTTTTATTCCTTTAAATGGAAAGGTCTACCTGGTAAAAGGATATTTTAACAGTAAAGAGAGGGTTAACTGAAATGAGAATTGATGAAAAAGAATAATAACCAAGAATTAGTGCTTACTATGTGACAGATGCTCACATTTAATCCCAGAACAGCCCTATTAAGTAAGCAGCCCTTCCTCTGAGAAGCCTGTCTTTATCTCAGGGGGACCAACCCCTCTTTTGTGTCCTTCTACTACACTCTACTCTTTCACTATTTTTTGTCTGTAACCCCCAGTTCCCTCTCCATTTCTTATCCCCAGTGAAAGTTTTCTATTTTCTGTGTGTTTGGCCCAGAAGTGGCCTACAGTCAGTTGAATTGAACTGTTGAGATATCAAATCCTTGTGTTTTTCTAGTCAAGAGTGAAATCCCACTTTCTTGATGTTATAGGTGAAAATTTAAGCATTAAAAACCAGATGTTGGTCTGAGGTAAAAATAGTAAGAAAATAGTTGTGGGTAATGAAACTGTGCAGTCCAGTCTGAGGCTCCCTGCCTTCTCCCCACCCCCAGTGCATACCGTTAAAGATTGAAACAGAGTATTTTAAAGTAGCTGTTGCTTTGGAAATTATTTTAGAATAAATATAACAAATTTCAAAGAGGTGTCCATATTCTGTGTTTGTAAGTAATTTTACTGTAATGGGTATTTTTCAAGGTTGAAATTATTTAATACAAAGAAACATTCTTTATTCATACTGTGAGCAACTGTCTTTCAAAACACAAGCCACAGTACAAACATTCTTATTTGAATAACAGAGAATAATGTCAAATTAACGTTTTTTTGTAGTTTTTTTCTTGTTACAACAAAAACTTTCACAAAACTGCATTCCTGATTATAGATAAAATTTTAGCGATGGAAGGAACCTGAGATCCAGTCTGACTCCTGCCTGTCACCCAGAGAGATGAAACAATTTATCTAAAGTCATGTACCTAACTAAAGACAGAGCCAGGGAGAGAAAACAGAGTCCATTATCCATTTGCCATAGTGTTACATTCCTCTGGGAAAAAACTGCCTACTCACTTTTAGTCTTTAACGCTAGTTAGAGTCTTGGGGTAAGTTTTTTTCCATGAATAACTTAGTGCTCTTGTTTTCTTGGATGGGTGTCTGGGAACAAACTATCAAGGGTTTTAGCTCTTTTATTGTTGTTCAACAACTGAACAGTGTAAGGAAGTTAACAAGGAAAACCTAGTTAGCACTTTAGGAATCAGGAAGAAGCAGTATTTTAAAATTGAGTTCTTAACCTGGGGTCTGAATTCCCTAAAGTTTTATGAAAATTAAGCAGATATATGCATACCTCTCAAGAAAAGAACCTGTAGCTTTCATCAGGCTATCAAAGGGTACATAATTAAAAACTATTTTTTCAGGAGGAAAAGCTGAGCAAACCTGATTGAGAACTAGTTCCTCTCTTGCACTCTAAATACTAATTACACTAGAGGGCTGCCTTATCTCCAGCCTGCTTCTGGTGGTGCCCTTTCCTACTGAAAAAGCTTCTCCAAATAGCTTCCTGGACCTTGTCATAGAAACCACTGAGGGCCCAGACTTCTTTTTGCAGGAACTTTTCCCAGATGTTTCTCTCCGTCTTTTCTGCTTACTCTTCCCAAGAGAGAGTATGAGAGGGATTTTTGTTTATCAGAGAATCCAAGATTTTTATTTCAAGTACATTGTGGTTAAAAGGAATTTGTGAGCTGACTTGAGAACCTAAGACTTGCTATAAGAAAAAAAATGTAAACAGTTCCAATCAATACTTTGAGAATTAACTTAAAGTGCCTCTAGTTCTTTAGTTAGGGGATCTCTGTGTTTGTTCCGAAACTCTTTACACTTCTGAAAAGCAGAATGAAAACCCATGGATAGTGGCTTAGGACTTGTCCTGATCTGTCTGGAAAAAGTGTTTTTAGTTTTTCCTTCTTGAATTTTATTAGATTTAAAAGAAACTACCCTAAATAGAAATTCATTTTAATGTGATTCCTTCCTAGAAGAGAACATATATAAAGCACATTCTTAATTTTTAATTCTAGCATCTTGGACAAAGAAAAATCTACCACTAAGACTGAAGTTGGGAGAATTTGTATGCTTGTTTATTCATTATAAAAATCCCTTTCTAAGTACACATCATGAACTGTCAGGTGTCATGTTAGAAGCTAGAAAATGATAAGTGGTCTCTTCTCTTGCAAAGCTTACAATCTGCTGGAGACGCAGGTCAACAATACCAATTCAGCATGCTAAATATTCTAACAGAGGTGTCAAAAAATCTGGAATCAATACTCTACTTGGCTAGAAAGAGGGGTGGGAGTTACAGTAAACTTCCAGAAAGGTAAATATTTGAGTCATGTCTTAACAGTTCAGTAGAAACTTGTCAGGCAAAGAAGGGATCTAGGAATAAATGGTGTGTTTGTGCCTTCCTAATTTTAACTAAATTTAACATTTGCCACTCTCTTATTTGTATTTTCAATTAGAGCTCCAAACGAGAATGGAAGCCACTGGAGGACCGTAGCTGCACAGATATACCGTGGCTGCTGCTTTTTATCCTCTTCTGCATTGGGATGGTAAGGAAACTCCCACACAGGATTAGAACCTGAATTCATGACCCAAGGAAATGATGGGACTTGGTTTAAAGAGGGAGATTGTTATTTATCAATTTCTTTTTAACCCCTCCTGACTTGCTTATAACTGAGGGTCCTAGGATACTATTGAAGCCAGTTATTTTTTCTCCCATACAACTCACTGGGAGTTGGTACCCCCTTGTTTAGGTTTTTTTGGGGGATGGGCGAGAGGTTCCTATATGAAAACTGAGATTGAAATTAAGGAGCATTGGAACTCTATCTTTCTGACTAGATATTTCAGAAAGCAAATTAATTTGGCATAAAAATTTGTGAACTGTGATCTTAATGGGTTGGTGAGCAGAGCACTCTCCATGGAGTCAAGAGTCCTGAGTATTTATCCAACCCATTTATACAAACCTGATGATTCTTTTTGCACAGGTTTTCCTCTCAGGACTCTGTGTTCCTTTGTATAAAAATTAGAGGTTTTGATAGATGATATCTAGAATGCTCCTAGTTGTGACATTTTTTAGTTCGTCCTTAGAGAGGAGGCTATTTGCTCACTGCTTCTTCCTCCTGCCTAGGCCTCTGCTGCCTGCTGTGTCTGCTCTAATGAGTGGCACCTCTCAGTCAGAGATCAAGGGACCTGGTGATTTTTCAGTGGGTGTAGAGGATGGAGGAGCAGAGTACTTGGTGCAAAGTGTTTGGGGTGTACTTATCCAAACTACATACCCACTGTGCCCTGCAAGTGTTTCTGACACAGGCTTTAGGGATTTTAGAGTCACTGCCAGTATGCTGGGCAGGAAAAAAGATAGAAAACAGCTGTTTTAGAGACAGTTGATGTTTGGAGCTAGAAAGGACTTGGAAATCCTCATGTGGTCCATCATCCTCAGATTAAAAGCATCAAATCGAGAGATGGAAATGGCCATCCCAAGGCAGCTCTGCTGGTTAATGGCAGCACTGGGAATGGAGCCCTGGTCTCCTGGCTTCCAGGCTAGTGCTCATTTCTGCCACCTACTTTTCTCTCCCTCAAGGGGACTTCAGGCAGTATTGCCCTCTCTTTCTTAGTCATTACAACTCAAACCACCATTATGCTACCTCAGGCAGCCTTTTTTCCCCCACTTGTGTATAGTTCTAAAGGCCCTTTCCTCATACTTTTTATGGAGGTTCTTTAGGGAAATCTTATCCTATATTTCTGCTACTGCCCTCCTTGCAAAAGCCATTTGGGAATCACAGAACAACCCTATGCATGGCTAATAGGCATAGTTGCAGGTTCTGAACCAAGGAAAAGAAAGCACTACTGCTTTATAATGAGATACAATAATCCAGTAAAATACAGAGGGTTAGTTTTTAACAATAATAGAGAGCTCAGTTTCACTGAACCTAAGATATTTAGAAAACATCAAAATACCCATTTCCTAATTTAGGACTTGTTCAAGAGTCTTAGCTTAATGGAGTAGCAACTCAAATTTGGTGTGCATGAAGAGTGTGGAAAAGATTGTTTGCTAACGGAAGTAGTCCATAACCTCTTCCCACCCACCGAATTAACCCTGGGACAAATAGGAGCTGATCTTTCAAATCATATTGATAAAAACATCTACCTGCCACTTGAGTCACTTTTGATTTTCTGTGCTAAAATAGCTCAGGAAAGTGCAATAATTAATGTTAATAGCCTGATTTGGCAGTGACTGGAGAGTAAGGAGCTATTTGTTTACTGAAACGTTTTAATGCTATGGTAATTAATATGTTTTCAGTGTGATGGTAATTAAGACCCACTGTGTGTGCATTTAAATGCAAGCATAATGTTATTTGTTTTGCAATGATTCTTTTAATGAATTACCTCTTGGTTTTGAGCTAACATCAAATGTTGTCATGTGGAAACTGGAGAAACCACAAGTTCTTTATTTAGTTCTTTGGCCCATCATATTAGCACAGCAGTAGACCAATGTTTTTTGTCTTCTGAGTATTTGTTTTCTATGTTTTTTTTCCGAATTATATTTTTCTTTGAATTTCATTATGCATCACTTTTTTAAAACAAGCATTCAACAAACATTTGTTGAGCATTATTCTATGCTTGACGCTTTCATATTTACCTTAAGAAGTAGGTTTTATCCCAGACAAGGAAGGTATAATGAAGTTAAATATTAGCTTGCCTAGGAATACACTGGTAATAAATAAGTGGCAAAGAGAATAGGAACTGGAATTTTCTGCCAATATTCTTTTAACCCAGATGTCCACTTCCTTTATTGTCATTTTCTTTCTCAATTTGCTTGCAGCCTAATATTCAAGCTATATCTTTATTCACTGTTCTTACTTGCTCTTCTTTACTCACTCCTTGATGACTTTGTTTCAGCTCAGAAATATTTTAAGATCTTGTCATCTTTCATTCATATTTGCCATTAAATCTTTTGATTTACACATGCTCCTCTCTTCATGAATATTTGTCCTTCAACTTCTTGGCTTATTTTCAGGATTTTCTTGTGCTTGAGTTGTCTAGAACTTAAGGGTATTCTTCAAAGTCAATTGTTATCAGCCTTCTTGAGAGCTATCATCTTCTACATTTGAACTTCCATCAACAGTGAAATTCCTGGGCATATGCTTATCCTATTTAAAAAATTACACATTAGCATTATTCTTCTACATTTCTATTTTCCACGAAGGTAGTAATCAATTGGTTCTCATGTTAGACAAGTGGCTGCACACTAGAATCCACTGGGATTAAAAAAGAAATACTTGTTTGTGCATTCCACCTCTAATTTTGATTTAATTTCTAGCATTGCTATATTCAGGCAGGGGTTGAGACCCGCTGCTGTAGGTACTGATAAACCACTAAAGAGTTTTGATCTAGAAATGATATGGCTGGGTTTAGAAAGAGGGCCCTGGTAGCCAGTGTTAAAGATGGCTTGCTATGCCATTATAAAATAAGAGATTTCAGACAGACCAGTTTGGAGGCTGATGCAATAGTCCAGATAAGAGGTGGGAAACCTGAAATAAAGTAGTGATAAAGGAGAGGAGGGGAGAGATTGAACAAGTAGGATCCATAACATTTGTGTCATCAGTGTTGTAAGCAAATGAGAGACAGATGATTAAGAGATTCTTGTCAGGGATTTAGGGTAGTGTTTTTCAGCTCAAGTCCTACTCTAGTTCACAGCTTCCAAACCACCATTTCTGTACACATGAGGAAACAAGAATGGAATGGGCAGAGTGCTCCTTAATTAGTAGCTAAGCAGTCACCTGATTATGCCCAGTGAAGAACTCCTTGGTAAACATGAGTTGTAAAATGAAGCTTGGGCCATGTGGGCAAATGATCCTTCCTTTCCTGCTTGTCCATCTTCATTCTGTCTCAGGGAGAGGTACAAGTGAGAATAGAAGAGTGGGGAAGGGCAGGCAGGGGGAGGGAAGAGAGAAAAGAAAGTTACCTGGACCAAATCAGCCCAGCTGTACGAGAAAAAGGAAAGAGAGGAGGCTGGGTAGCCCTAATACAATTGCTTACCATGGAAAATAGAAGATGCAGAGACCCCCTACAACTTACCCCTGATAGGCATTGTTGCTTACTGTAGACTAGGTGACGCATGTGACTCAGAAACATTTAATTTTCACAGCTGCTGAAATAGATACCATTGTTACCATCATTCCCATTTTACAGATAAGGAAACAGACACAGAGATAGGTTCAATAACTTGTCTAGATTACCCAGTGGTACATTGAACCCAGGAGAGAAGAGGTGTAAGGCAACGCAAGAGGGAGTCCTTTGTGCCCAGAATTGGGAACAATAAAAAAGTGTTCAGAGCATGGACCTCACTTGCCAGTAAAACATAGTCTAATCAATATCTCAGACTCTGGCCAAATAGTTTGTCATTACTGCTTCCTCTAGTGCAGAGTTAGGAAGCTGGGGTGATGGCTGGGAGCATGGAGAGGGAGGACAGGAGAGTCCTCTTACTTCATATGTGGGCGGTCTCATAAATAATGGAACTGCAAATGGAGATAAGGTATATGTAGGAAAGGAAAATGGTTTGGGGAAATGTGGAATGAGATGTTTTAGAGGTGTACAATATGTGGGTAAAGGTAAGCTGTGGAAAATGTAGAGTTGGAATTTTGGAGAATGATCTGGACTAGAGCTGGATTTAAGAGACATCATTGCATAGGTTGTCCCTTCAGACTGCTTTCAAGGAACTTTTATGTTTTATAGCATTAGTCTAGTTCCCAGGAAATAGTGTTTCTATCTCATTAACTATTGTTGAGCATGCAGTGCAAAGTGAAAGACTCAAAAACTCACTGCAGGATTTAGTCATCTGTGTTATGGTCTGTCCTCTGCCAGTAGTGTAGAATAGGAAGAACAGTATGCCAAAAATTACCCTAAAGTTACCTTAAAGTCTACCTACTTTCTGTTAAATCCTTTTTTTTATTATACTAAAATGTACATAACATGAAATATACCATTTTAACTATTTTTCAGTGTACAATTCATTTAAACCCATTTGCTTTTAACCTAGTAACTTCTTTTATTCTTAGTCACCGTACTTGACTATACTCCAACATATTTTACTGTGTATCTACTTGCCCTCAGAATCACAAAGTTTTGGAAGAGGAACGGGGTTTAGAGATGAATCTGGTTCAGTCCTTGTGATAGCTAAGGAAGTGGAGGCTCAGAGAATTTAAAGGGCTTGCCCAGGATCATACAGAGTATTCGGGCAGAGCAGGGTTCAATTTCTAATATTCCTTCTCTCTCTCTCTCTCTCTCTCTCTCTCTCTCTCTCTCTCTCTGTGTGTGTATGTGTTTTCCATTTCTCCAAGTTGCTGTGAAACTGAGCCTCTCTGATTTTGCTTCCTCATGCCCCATTATTTTCTTCTTTTGAGAATATTTCCGTTCTTTTAAGGTAAACTTTATGTATTATAACACTTCCATACCTTGTTTGGTGTCTTGCATTTGTATAATATGCTCAATACATAATCATTCTTGCTTTTTTTCCTCTTTCCTCTTGCTTACCACAATACAGTTCCTGTTAAACTTTAAAGAAATCCAGAAATCTGGCAGAAGGACAAAATTTTTAAATTTTTTTAGTTTGTTTGTGAAAGTATTAGTTCTCCATCAGGCCTTCTAGTCCTACCCTATGTGCTGGTTTCTAATAGCCTTCCTTGTTTCGGGTTCTCAGAAGAGGAGGAAGAGAAGCCAAACGTTACTCCAAGGTTTGACAAATTAGTTATTAGGAGATTGACTCCAAGGATTGATAGAGATAAGGGATGTATAGAGCTGATGGAGGTAATATTTAAGAAAAAAAAAGTCTGGATACATTTTCATTAATCCCTGGGAGATAGCTCTAAACATGTCTTTTTCCCCCCATTTAAAAATTTTGGAATATTCTGCCATATTCATATTTTATCCCCACCCTTCACCTGTGTCTTATTGACTGTTGTAGTTTTTCCTCAAATCTAAAGACCATCTGCCTTGCTCAGTTGCATAGTAATGGTTTCAGGTGTGAAATTCAAACATGCCTATGAAATAAAATGTGTCCCTTTTGTTGACTAATAGTGAATGAAACTTAGCAAATGCTCTTAAGTTGAAGTAAATGAGCACAGTTTGTTAATTAGCAAATTATCTTTCTCCCACTTAGGCAGTAGATACTTATTAGTGGCCAGACCTTGTCTGTGATCCACCACGTGTGGCTTTATCTGATTTGAGTCACCTCCTGTTTGTGATTAGATTTGTCTCCTCCTGTCTCTTAAAATAGCTGTTCTGAAAACACTTCAGTAGATCAGTCATTTTAAGATTTTAGCTGTGGTCTCTTCCCTACGAATAGGCTTTTCTTTTTCTTTAGTGATTGTTCTCTACTATAGGCTTATAAAAGCCTTCCTCATCCCCCTTATAATTTGCTTTATTAATGTGATTTCCTTCTTTTGAATGCCCCCACCCCACAGCCCCACCACTGTGGAGCCATTAAATCATTGAGGGTATTCTCTAAGTTTCTCTTACCCTATTTTAATTTCATATGTCACATATTTTCTCATCTGAAAGTATATTATTTCCTGCATTTGGATTTCAGGATTAAAAAAAAAAAAGATAGTATTTTCAATTATATTTGGCCTAGTTCCCCATTGTCAGTGCTTGTCCCATATGGGAAGTCCCTGGGGTAACAGTCAAACTATCTTATTAGCTTACTGTTCTCTGTCCTTTCTCCCCTGCAGCTTCTCACCCTCTTTTCTTTAATGCTCTTGGAAGCTACTAAAAAGTTACAATGGCCAATGTGAAAATGTTCAGTGTCCTATTTTACCATATATATGTAATATTTATAATTTATACTCTGCCTACATCCCTGAGAGATGTGAGATGGCTTATGATAAAAAAAAAACCCCACATGTCCAACAGAATTGTTAAAAATAGTCAGAAAGGGAAATTAGAAACCCTTTAAAGGAATCTGTAACACAGTACTTATCAAACATGAGAAAATTCCTATAAAAAGTACAGGAACATAACCTTTTAATTATGCAAGGACTTTGCTATTTTAAACTAGTAGTGAAAGAAGGTTTTAATTGTGGTCTGAATGTTTCTGTGTGGTAAAAAAATTACTGACAGTATTTCTCACTTTTTCCCCCTAGAAATTTTTGTTCTAAGATAGAGAACTGAAGGGGTTTGTGGTTAGTCCCCGAGTATCCTTGTCAACCTCTGATCAGACTTTCTTATTCAAATTTACCACTAAGGGCTACCATGTATTGATCATCTGCCATGTACCAAACCAGCTCGGGGTTAGATATGAATTGTCTCATTTAGTCTGCATCATTAGGCTATGAAATAGATGATACTACTTTGGGTGAGGGATGAGAAGGAAACAGATTAAGTAAGTAATTGGATCAAAGTCACACAGATAATAAGTGGTAGAATGAGGGTTTGAATCCAGATCATTATGGATTCCCTTTCTATTATTCTATGATGCTTCTTATTAAAAAACTGTACTGGAAAGGAGAGCCATTCAATCTCCTAAAGTTTGCCTCCACTTTTAGTTTTTGTTCAGTGTAGGGTTTCCTAATTTGAGGTTCAAGGATATGCTTAAAATGGCACGCTGATTTGCATGTCTGTGTATAGGTAGGTGATTACATTTTTTTTTCTCATGCCTTAGTATTGGCTTGAAGTTTTGAAGTGGGAATAATTGCTCTGCCGTCTCCTTGGAGGAGTTGGGAGAGGGGGAGGGGAGACAGTGGATGCAGGTGAGTGAGTGGGTACTGACCAGCCCAACTCTAGTGCAGCTGCTACTTTGAGTCTGAAGGGTACTAACATTTATTGAGAGAGACAGCTTACATGTGTTACCTCATGTAATTCTCACAGCAGCCTTTGGGGCAAGTGGTTTTAGCCCCAATTTATAGATAGGTAAACTGAGGCATGGAGAATTAAGCAAGTTTGCCCAAGATCACCCAAGTAGAAAATGGAGTCATCTCTATTTAATTATCAGTGGTGGCTTAACTGCCCAAAAATCCTGTGCGGTCTTTTCCTTACAATGTGGTCTCATTTCTAACAGCAATAAGCTTTTACTCTGCCCATCAAAATTCTTACCACTTTACTGGATTATTTCATTTAATCCTTACTGCAGCCTTATGAGCTGCACACTCATTATCTCCATTTTACAGGTGAGTAAGTTGAAGCACAGAGAGTTCAAGTAATTTGACAAGGACCAGAGAGCAAGAGGAGTGAATCAAGGATTGTCTCTACTCCTGAGTCTACCTTTGTACAAAGAATAGTTTCAAGAAGGTTCTCCAGCTAGGCTTATGCTTTCTACTCTTCTCCCTCATGTTCCTTACCTGCATGATAAAAATAGAGGGGTTATTAGAAAAATAGTCTATTTGCCTTTTTAGGAAAACATGTTTCAAAAGAAAATACTTCTCTCTGAGGAACTGCATATTATTAGTACAATATTTACCACTGTAGGCCTGAAGTCAAGCGAGGCTGCTTAGATAAGTACTACTCGTGGTACTTGGCTACTATGAGTTAAACAGTGATAATCTCTGCCTTCATTAGCCACTTCAGTAAAAAGGTAACAAAACTCAACCCTTTAAAGACCAAGTTGCAAGATTATTTCTTCACCCCAGTCTTGTCTCCCAATTCAGTCAGTTCATCAGTAGTGATTCACCTTCCTTCCTGTCCTTAGGCCCAGGAGCCTGCCTTTGGGTGTAGGCTTTTATTGCTTTGTTTTGATCAGTGCATACTTGCCTTAGCAGGCATGATGCAGTTCTGAAGCACCTATCATTTATTCACCTTTGGCACTGTGATGAAGCATATTCTTATGAAATGAAGTGAACTTTATGGCACACAGACCCAAGTGCCTCACTCTCCTTGAGACTTCAGTATTAAGAGCATGACGGTGCTTCATGGTGTAATTCTTTGGCTTGTATACAGCAGCTTTATTGCAGGAAGGAAACAGAAGTGTTGTGTGCACTGAAGTGATAATAATTCAAAACGCACATACCTATTGTTCTTTGAGTTTTTTTTCTTTCATCCCTTGCTGGTGTTCATTTAACAGAACTCTTTTACAACCAAATAAAACAAAAGAATGAAGAAAGCTGGGTTTGATTCTGTGCTCTGATCTTTACTAGCATCTGTGGTATTGGGCAATTTATTTAACCTCTCTTGGCCTCAGTTTCCTCATCATGAGGATTAGCAATAATGTATGGTAAGCACCTAGTGCAGAGCCTGGCACATAGCAGATGTTCAATACAGAGAAGCTGCTATTATTATTATAAAATGCAAAGACGATTTTATGATGTAAAAGCTTGAGATTTGTTTTGTTATGGTAGTAAATAGTGTTTCCCTGTGGACTGTTTTTTGCTGCTTATGTGAAATCCAAGGAAAACAGTGGAATAGTGTTTGCAATAAGGAAAGATAGCTCTTTGTTCCCTTTGACAGACAAAAGAAGCTCATTATCCTATCAAGTAGTGACTGTTGCTATTGAAATGGTTTATTTGTATGGTTTATTTTTTTTCTGTTTTTTCCTAGGGATTTATTTGTGGCTTTTCAGTAGCAACAGGTGCAGCAGCGAGACTAGTGTCAGGATACGACAGCTATGGAAATATCTGTGGGCAGATAAATGCAAAGTTGGAACCAATACCAAACAGTGGCATGGACCACACTCATCGGAAGTGAGTAGACTGCTGCTGAATGATGAACACTATGGAAACTTGGAAGGGGGTGGAGAAACTCCTGCTTTTTCTTACTGTCACAAAGATAATATCTTACTGAATAATATTTTTATATTATGATAAGGCTCCTGCTGGTGTTTGGGTTTTTTTTTTTAAATTGTCCACTTAAATAATTCCTGTTTTGGGGCTTTAAATACATTTTCCAGGAAACAAAATTAGTTGCAATGTTAAAATGGGCTGCCTTGAGGTTTTAATGAATAAAGCCTTGATTTGAGAGGGTTCCTCTTGTACTTGTGTACAACCTAAAAGGCTAATGGGAAAACAAAGTTTTAATCCAGAGAATAACATTTTTTTTCCTAAGATTGTACTTGATGGGACAGAGGGATAATAATGAATTGTACTTGATGGGACAGAGGGATAATAATGTATTTTGAGACTTTGAAGTTATAACAAAACATTTTGTGATGCATCATTTATAAGTACACATCAATTTCCAATTTTATAAAAGATACATTTTCTTTGTCAGACCTTAAAATTTGTTTTCCAAAATCCTCTTCTGGGTTTCAAGACATTCCTGACTTAATCACCTTTTTTTTCTTCAAAAGAGCTGTTTATTTCATTTTTAATGTCTGCAGGGAAAATGTATTTCATCAAACATTTTTTATGTGTGATGTCAGTGTGTTTGTTCAAACTGTATATTAGTGCTCCATCAAACTTTATTAGACAGGTCTAATAAAGATAGGTTTTCACAATTAACGAAACTAATTTTAAGGTGACAGGTTAACTGATTCAATTAATGAACTTTATAGGAAAAGGCTAAGTGGCTAAAAACATTTTTAAGCTATAGTTCTATTATGAAGCATATCCAAGGATGTAATAACTATGTTTATTATTAGATCCATCTGTTGGTTAAATATGGGCCCCTACTGAAAACTATAAGATTAATTTGATAATTTCATAAACTTGAAGAAATCCAAATAGTTAATCATATCTCAGATATTCCACCATTTAGTGAAGGAATAATGTAGTATTCAAATAAAAAACATTTTAAATAATAATAATGAATGTTTTTATAGATGCTATAGTCAACAGGCATATTATACCCCCAGTGAGGTGGGTGTAGCAGAGGCTTAGAGAGATGGAAATGTCTTTCCCAAAAGTCTAGTGGGCAGTAGACTGTCCAACACAGACTCTGAGCCTTTTTCTTGGTATGCACCTGCATCCCTTGACAGGAGAAGTGAGAATTGAACTCTTAAAAATTCGGAGGTTTCTTTCATTCATCCTTCTTTTTGATTGCCTCATGAAATTAACACAAATTTTAGGTTTTGTGTGATTTTTGTTTTTACTTTTTATTTTAAAATAATTTTAGAGTCATGTAGAAGTTGCAAAAATAGAACAGAGGTCCACATATATTTTTTTAAGGTAGTGTTCATTGTCAAATACTGCTTAATTCTTTAATGCCATTGATGTGAACCAAACACAAAGTATTACCCTTTGTATAACTGAGGAGATAAGAGGAAACATGCTCTACTCCCTCAGGTCTACTGTTTACCTGAGGTTGTAATTGTATTTACGGCTCTCTTTATAACTTGCTAATGACTTGACAACTAGATTCTCACTATAAGGTTTGTGTAAATGTCACTCTTCACACTTAACCTATTGAAAGTCACTTGTTCAATTTTTAATTTCAAATCCTTGGATTATTTTCTGTACATTTTAGCCTCTTGCAAAGAGAACTTGATTTTTATTCGAAAAAGTGAATGCTTAACAGAGTCAGGAGGCATTCATGAATATGGGGATATACCTGGGATATAGTTTCCCAGGTATAGCTATGCTCTAACTTATGTGTATGTTGCTTAAATGTCATTTTTGATTTCTACTTCTTCTCTGTATATGCGTATTTTTGTGCCAACCCATTTAAGTATTTCTACCTATAAATGGGTATTTTTTAAAAAGTGAAGGGTACATTTTGAACGTAGCTTTCTCAGGTAAGTCTATATTTTTTGGATTTGAAAGGAGGCAGAAAGTACTTATGCTTGTTACCTTTACTCCATCCTCTTTCTTTGCCTGCCAAATGGCATTGATTTCCTTCCTTTTCACTCATTTCCTCATACATCTTTGCTTTATTCTGAATACCAGACACTTCCATACATAGAGAATTTTTTATGGCTGTTTGCTGTTACTACAACATGATCTTGATCTTTATTGCCTTCTCCTGTCCCCCATCCTCAGTCCCTAGTACTTGGTACTTACTAGGACCTCGATACATATTTGTTGAATAAGTTCATGAATGAATCCTCTAAAATCTTGAATACAACTAATTCTTTCCTGCCTTCATGAGTGTTGTTTCCTCTGCCAGAAAAAAATCCCTCCCATTCTTCAAATGACTAAATTCTACTTCTTCAGCTCTCAGTTATAAATGTTACTTCCCAGAAAGGTCTTTCTGATTTTGTAATTTAAATCAAGCATTTAAAAATACTCCCTCATTATGTCCTGTATATATGTATTTATTTTGTGATTATTTGTTAATTGTTACTTCTAAGTTCAATGAGAGCAGAGGTGAGGTCGGTTTTGTTTACTGCTATTTCCTCAGTACCTAAAACATAGTAAGCACTCAGTTAAATGTAGAATGGGTAAATAAATTTCTTTCCTTAGAATATGTTCTAAGAAGTGAGCTACAGAGTCTGAAGATTTGAATATTTTTAAGATTATTAATGTATTTGCTGAATGGCTTTCCATAAAGCCTCCTTTCACATTCCCGCCATCTGAAATCACTCTATTGTTTTGCTAGTATTTTTATTTTTTTATTAATTTGATTGACCAAAAAAATGGTGTTTTATAGTTTTGAGTATTCATGAGCATAAACCTTTTCCTCTCCACTTGTTTGTTGACCTCTCATGAAGACTGTTGTGCTAGCTTATTTGTTCTTGACCTTCTTATCTCTAATCTTCTCCATCCTTTATACTGTGATAGGATTAAGTTCTTTAAAACACTTTTTATTGTCATTTCCCAGCTCAAGAGCCTTTCCTGTAGTGTTATTGCCTACAGCATCACAGGTGAGCCCACTCAGCGCCTGCCCTCCCAGGCTTCTTGTGGTGGAGAGCCTTTGCACCATTCAGTCTTCGCACTATTTTTCAGTGTAGTAGTGTTCTGCCCATGATATTAAGTCAATTTATCCCTGTCCTGTTCTCACTACCTTCCTGCCAGTCTGAATTCTTGAGAAATTTAATGTGGGTCTCATAACTAACTTCTTTATGAAATATTTCAAAACAAACTTTGTCCTTTCCTATCTGAACTTTCCTATCTCATACTTGTTTTTCTATTGCCTTTAAGCTGTCCTCTCATTGTATTGCATGTTTCTCATCTACCTGTATTAATGATCTGTTGCTAGGTAACAATATCACTATAAATGTAGGGGCTTAAAACAAGACATGCTTATGATCTCATAGTTCTGTGGGCCAGGAGTCTGGGTATGGCTTAGCAAGTCCCCTGCTTCAATCTCTCACAAAGATGTAATCAAAGTGTTGGTCTGGGCTGGAGCCTGTTGCCTTCCAAACTCATGTGGTTGTTGGCAGCACACAACCTTTCAGGATTGCTGGACTGAGAGCCTTAGCTCTTCACTGGCTGTCTGCCAGAGGCTACCCTCAGGCATGCTATGTGGGACTGTCCACAGGGCGGCTTACTTTAAAGCCAGCATAGAGAGTTGGCTAGCAAGATGAAGTTACAGTCTTATGTACTATAGTTTTGAAATCGATGTCTTGTCACCTTTGCCACATTCTACTGGAAGCTAGTCGCAATTACCACCCACACCCAAGAGGAAGGGATTACACATGGGTGTGAATTCTAGGAAATTGGGATTATTGGAGCATTTTAGTCTGCCTGCCACATTTGGAGCTCTATCTCCCTGGAGCACCATGTTTTGTATAACTTCTGGATTTGAGCCCCCGAGAGTTTATTGAAGCGGACTTATTGAATTGTAATAAAATGGAAAGGAGGAAAGTTAGGTAAGAAATGGAGAGGAATGCCTTGGACCTGTTATAACTAAAAAATTTAAGATGCCAAGATGATTAAGAATTCTATTAGTAAAGAAAAGGCAATATTTTATTCCCTGTCATTCTAATTGTAACATGTTGTCCTTCTCCAAATAGTATTTTTAACCTGATGCCATATTTACTATAGTAATAAGGATGCATAGAAAAATGGCAGTTTTTTTTGAGATACAGGAAGGCTCCAACTTCAAGTGAATTATGTTCCCAAAGTTGATTTTTAAGTTGGCTGCTTGAGACATATAATCCTTTTCTGCATAGAAACAATACTATAAATAAGGTTCTGAGGCTGCATTGACTCAGAAAGGCTCGTTTATCTCAAAACCATAAGGCACCAGCTATGAAAGGGATCTTTAAGATTATCTAGTGCATAACCTCCCTAAAGCATCCTGTGAAATACTTGTGAGTACCAACCAAGGCCTAAAGAAGAAATGGCTTGTTTTGTAGCTGAGTTATAGTGGTAATAGTACTGTAGAACATGAGTATGACTTACAGTCATTTCATTCTTTTTTTTTTTTTTTGGAGAGTGGGATGGTAATAATATGTTTTGAACTCTGATTGACAATTCTGAAAACATATCTCTTCTGTCACATTCTAGATTGCCTACCATTTTCAAAACCATAAAACTAGCCTTAGAGTATATGTGTCAATTTTTAGACAGAGAATTATTATTATTATAAAAATTGTTTCCAGAAAGGAAGCCCCCATCTAACATATCAATTTGGATAAAGCAGGGATGCTTCTAAGATACTGGAAATAGTGGATATGGGGACTATGCCAGCGCACAGTGTCTAGCTCTGTCAGCCCCTGGCAAGACAGTTGTGCTTCTACCAGGGATGTTCCCGTGTCCTAGTGTGCAGGATGGGAGAGGCTATGGTGAGGTGGCAGTGCTTTTAGGATGCAGAGGTTATTGTAATGCGGGTGAGGGTATGCTGAGTACTGCTTTAAATCTTT